AAAAAAGACCCGGTCTAGGTAGGGTTAAAAGATTTCGCGAGAAACTCCCCTACAATTCCACGACAAGCTGGAAGGGCAACAGAATCCGCACCACTTATATCTTTCAGAAAAAGTTATCTGTCACCAAAAATCCAAGACCATAGCATGTTTAAAACAAAAGATATACAAACCGGATGTTCTAGGTGCTGCAGTACCAAAGTCAGCTACCAGGCCAATATTTGGCATCAACCTTTGTCTTTCTACGAGCTACCACCATACCAAATATCATGATCACAGTCCATAATTGGCTGTCTGAAGTTATGCTGAATACAAATGTGAGGAAACACAGACACACACACACATACACAGAGAGAGAGAGAGCACAAACAATGCCTTCATTTTTATAAAGGTAATTACGTATACATAGAAATTACCTTTGCAATGTCTGGTGTGTGCCAAAGTGCTTCCAATGTCTCCACTATGGCAATGATCTTGCAGTGACCGGGAAGCAAGTTTTTGGTCTTCTCTACCTCTGACAGGACTTTATCGATTTTCCTGATGTCATCAGAAGAAGCGACTTTGGGTGCGATGAAGCCCGTCAGGTCGAGATGGCAAAGGGCGTCTGCTTCTCTCCTGGTGACGTCGTCCGTGATGTCACTGAACCGCACGTACACAGTCTGACCGCGGAACATCCTGCTCTTTAGCGCCTCAGCGTACAGCTTCAGGGCAGACTCTTTCTTATCTTTCGGTACCCCGTCCTCCAGATCCAGGAAGTAGGCGTCGGCCCTGGCCTCCCTGAACCGTTGAAGACTTTCGGGAGAATTCTTCAGAACAAGCATAGACCTCATGAGAGGGGAGGCTACCGATGACCGTCCTCTGCTCAAGGGCCGCCAGGCGCTAGGCGACGTTGCCGTCAGCATTATGTTTCGGACACAATTCTGTTGCATCAATCTTGAAATTAAAGCCATGATTGCACAACTGTGGAAAGACAAAGACAATTCAGTGAAAGTCAAGGCAACGTTGATACAAATACGTCAGTGCAATTTGCATTAATGGACTTCAATCGTAAGTCAATTATATCGAATTCTTGTATACGTATCTAAGATCATCTAAGGAAGGGCGACTATTGCCAATTCATAAAAACAAGAAAGCTTAAAAAAGGCTGACATTTTGCGGATAATTGTAAAAGGTGGCACACAGTGTCAATTTAACGTAACTTTCTATAAATAAAAAAATTAAGTTGATTGACCATGTGCAGCAGCGTTAGTGACATGATAACATGTACTTTTTTTTATTAACAAAGACAATAAAGCTGAAACAGAGAACAGTATTGCTGTGTAAGCTTATCGTCAATTAAAATAAACTCAAAATCAACTCAGATTCAAACTTGTCTTGTTTGGTTTATTGGGAAAAATTGACCGTTGGGAATTTTTGTTAATTGTCAAGAAAACCCCTGTTTCTTTTGTTTCGGCCCGTAACCTTTGACACATTCACGTGATACGCCATTCGACTTGACGGTACGCGGGTGCCGGTCTTGCTTTTGTTTGTCTCTTCATCTGGTGTTTTTTTTTTTTTTTTGCGAATATGGAGTCTGATCCCGAGAGGAAGAAGAAGAGACGATGTTCCGTGTGTCGGCTACCAGTGAAAGGACACCCGGGGACCATACGGCCGCGGCAGGTGCACTTTTGAGCGGCCAGAAGGATCCTCAGATGACGACTTTCTCGGACGACAGCGGGGTAGTGCTCAAGTCCAGGAGAAGATCAGAGGCCTTCGGCGGCACAGTAAAGTCCCGGAGCTAGTGCGTAAGGCCTGGTCGGACAGCCTCTCGGAAGACGCGGAAGAGGAGGTGAGGTTGGCTAGATCATACAACCTAAAGAAATTGTCGGATTACGGCGGAGAGAAAGCCAGCGTTCGAGCAAAAAGTGAACCCCCTCCCCAGGTTTCCCGCCCAAACGCTCGTGATCGGAGCAGGAAGTATGCACAAGGGAAAGACCAGCCCGACATACGAGATCTGAGAGAATCCAGGAAATTGGTCAAAGAGGTGGACAAGGCCTTGGACGACTTGTTACATCCAGTTACAAGCCAGGAGAGGAGGATCAGCGACAAACCCCTTGATGAGAGCGACTTTGATTCAACTTCAACATCGTCACAGACTGAATCGGGGC